TATCAAAACCAGTGAGTTCAGCAAGGTTGTAAGATACAAGATCAATATAGAAAATCAGCTGTTTCTCTGTATACTAACAATGAACATTCTGAAAATGAAGAAAATTCTGTCAATAAAAATTTCATAAATAAAATATTTAAGGGCCAGGTGCAGTAGCTCATACCTGTAATCCCAGCATTTTGAGAAGCCAAGGTGGGTGGATCACCTGAGGTCAGGAGTTTGAGACCAGCTTGACCAACATGATGAAACCCTGTCTCTAGCAAAAGTACAAAAATTAGCTGGGCATGATGGGACATGCTTGTAATCCCAGCTACTCAGGAGGCTGAGGCAGGAAAATCACTTGAACCCAGGAGGTGGAGGTTACAGTGAGCCAAGATTGCACCACTGCACTCCAGCCTGGGCATCAGAGCAAGACTCCATCTCAAAATAAATTAAATATTTAGGAATAAATTTAACCAAGAGGTATTAGACCTGTACACTGAAAACTATAAACGTGGCTGACATTTTAAAGCTCTAAGTAGAGATCCCAAGTGTGTGGATTAGAAAACTCAAGATTGTTAAGATGGCAGTTCTTCCCAAATTGATCTATAAATTCAGCAAAATCCCTACCAAAGGGAAAAAAACAGCTGGATTTTTTTAAGAAATTGACAAGCTAATCCTAAAATGAATATGGAAATACAAAAAAATCCAACATAATCAAAACAATTTTGAAAAAGAACAAAGTGAGAGGATTTACTAACCTATTTCAAAACTGAATATGAAGCTACAATAATCAAGATTATGGTACTAGCATAAGAATAGTGATATAGATAATGGAACAGAAATGAGGGTCTAGAAATAAACTCTTACCGGTCTTGTCAATTTCTTTTTGATTAAAGAATACCAAGGCAATTCATTGAGGAAAGGACAGTCTTTTCAAGAATGGTACTGAGGCTGGACATGGTGGTTCACTCCTGTAATCCCAGCACTTTGGAAGGCCAAGGCAGGAGGATTGCTTCAGGGCAGGAATTCAAGACCAGCTTGGGCAACATAGTGAGCCCTCATCTCCACAAAAAGTAAAAATTAAGGAAAAAGAATTGTAATCAGACAATCAGATATTCACATATGGAATATGAATTTAAATCCTTTAAATCCTTCATACCATATACAAAAATTAACTAAAAATAGGTGATAGACCTAAATGTAAGGACTAAAATACTAAACTTTTCAAGGAAAACAGAAAATCTTCATGACCTTGGTTTAACCAGTTTTCAGATAACATCAAAAGCATGAAATTGAACTTAATAAAAATGTAAAGCTTTTGTGTTTCAAAAGACACCAATAAGAAAACAGATTGGGAGAAAATATATGTAAATTTGATATAGGACTTACATTCAGAACTTATAAGGAACTATTACAACTCAATAACAAAAAGACAAACTCATTAAAAAGTAGATAAAAGATTTGAAGAAACAGATGTCTATAAGCACATAAAAAAACGCACATCATTAGTTATTAGGAAAATGCAATTAAAACCACAATGTGGTATCACTTCATACCCGCTGACTAGCTATAGTAAAAGATAGTCAATAATTAAGTATTGGTAAGGATGTGGAGAAGGTAACACTACTGGTGGGAATGTGATACATTTTACATTTTGGAGAGTGATATAAATGCACTAAAATTTTATGGTGGTGATGGTTATGTAGCTCTGTAAATACTTCAAGAAAGCTCCAGATTATAGTGCTGGAACAAGTCAGATGATACCAGAAGGAAGCAATCAGATAAACAACATGAGACATTCTGTAAGGCAACGGGCTTCCAATGTTACGAAAACACTGAACTATATTCCTGCATACCAGAAATGACATTTCCAAAAAAGATACTTATAATGCCATCCAAATATACGATGTACCTAGAAATATATGTAACAAAAGATTTACAAGACCTTCTTGGTGATTATAAAATTTTATTAAGACTTTAAAAAGACTTAGCAATATATCATGTTTATGGATTGAACGGCCCACTGAGATATAAATTCTCCCAAAATAGCTTATAGATTCATTGCAACTCCAATAAAATTTTCAATGTGTTTGGCTTATTTTCTTAGTGAGACATGATAAGCTGTTTCTAACATGTATAAAGAAGAGCAGAGAACCAAGAAGAGCCACAGCTGTTGATGAACAACAAGGATGTGAAAGAACTTTGAACATGGAGTAATAAAGAGAGTGGACATTAGTACAGGAAAAAACCATTGTAAGAAATAAAGAGCCCAGAAAAGATCTTTGCATATATTGACACTTAATATACAGCAAAAAAGGCACTTCAAAGCAACAGGAAAAGGAAAAAAATTTTTTTTGCAACCAAACAGTGCTGGCCCAAAAGACTAGCCTTAAAGCAGCAAAAAAATTACCTCATACTATATATTGAAGATAGTTCCAAGTGGGATGAAACCAAAATGTGAGAGGCAAAACTACAAAGCATGTAACAAGAAAATATTAACTATATTTTTAACCTAGAGAATGATTAAAAAACAGAATGAGCTGGGACTCCATGTTTGGAGGCCCTTCCACACTCTCTCTCTTTCTCTCTCATATGTGGAAATCTTTCTCTCTTCTCCTGTCTTCTCTTTTTCCATCTAAATAAAATCACCTTTCTTAAAAAAAAAAAAAAAGGATGAGCTAACCATAAAAGAAAACTATTGATGTATTTGAAGATATTAAAATTAAAATGTTAATATATTTTAAAACATTGTGAAAAGACAAGCCACAAAGTAGGAAAAGATTCTGCAACACAACTCATAAAGGAGTAGTACCCTGAATATATAAAGAACCACCTGCAAATTAATGACAAAAATGGGCAAAACTTTAACATACTTCATTTACCAAGATGAAATTCAAATGGCCAAAAAATACATGAAATATGATCAGCCTCATGAACACCTTTCATATATTTTTTCCATATGAGGAAAATGCTCATCTAAAGTACAATGTGATACCATTATACATCTACCAGATTGAGGGGCTGGGGAAAGTCAATACACACTGAGGAGAATGTAAATCAGTACAAGAATCTTTGGAAAACAGTTTGGCATGATCTGGGTTCCACTCTTATGTATATGTCCTTTTAAAGATGCAAACTCCAGAATATTTGTTCAAAATATCCATAGTAGCACCATTTGAAATATCCCCAAAGTGGAAAAAATCCAAATTGTCTATCAAGAGTAAAATGAAAAATAAATGGTAATATATTCATACAATGGAATAAACACACTATAGCTACATACAATAAGGATGAATCTCATAATGCTTAGCAAAAGAAATCAGTCTCAAAAGTATACAATATAGTTTGATTCATATAAATTCCAAAAATAGAAAGTAAATATGGTCTTTAGAGACGTAGTTTTATTACACAGGTAGTAAAACTATGAAGAAAAGCAAAACAAAGAGTAGGGATGGTGTTAAAGTGGACAGAGAGGGTTGTGTTAGGGAGGGAAATACAGGGAGCTTTTGAGGTGTTGGAGATGTTCTACTTCTTGACCTGGTGGTCACATGGTGTGCACATTATCATTCATTAAAAAAATATGTATGTGTGTAGGTATCTGTGTATACACATATACATATATATTTGATGCACTTTGTTGATATTTCATAAGAAAATAAACAAATGACCAGTAAATGTGAAAAGATATTCAATCTCACTAGTAATTAGAAAAATAAAATAACCATATCACCTATCATGATTTGCCGAAAATGTAAAAGACTAATATCCCTCTTTGCTGAGGTTGCAAAGAAATAGGCATTCTCATACGTTGTCAATAGGAAAGTAAATTAGTAATTCCTTATGAAGAACAATGTAACATTATGTATAAAAATGTAAAGCTCATCTTACAAGTTTTCAATTCCAATTCCAAATATATATCCTAATGAAATTCATATGCACTCAAGATATGTGTACAAAGATGTCTGCCATTCACTAAGCAGCATTGTTTGTAGTGAAAAAAATGAGTAAATGTCAATAAGGGAGAATTTATGAAAAGTATTATTACCCATACAATGAAATATTATGCAGCCATTAAAAATAAATCTTTATAAACTGACATGGAAAGATATCTAAAACACATTAAGTGAACAAAAGCAAGACACAGAATTACACATAGCATAATCCTGTTTTAAAAATATAAATATACACATATATTTATATAGAGGTATGAAAAACAGACTACGAATTCATGCTCTAACCTGTTAGCAGTGATTACCTCTGGGCCAGGAAGTGGTGGAGGTAGAAGCAGGGTAAACAGGACACTTCCCATCTTTATACCAGATACATACATAGGATTCTTTTGCAATCACATATCCATGGACTACTTATATATTTCTAACAAGTGGTAGTAGCAAAACAACCATATTATTATTTGTCCCATACCAATCTAATACATTTGGAAATAACTTGCTTTCAAAGCTAATTCTTTTGTTCCTGGAGGACCTCGAGAGAGCCTACAGTTGTGGTCACAGGGCTGTCAGCCATCAATAGAGGAGCACTGTGGAGGATACTAAGTCACTTGGTCTGTCTCGAGGCTCGCCTCTTGAAAATATTTGCATATATTCTCATATCCCAGCTTCCTGGCAGTAGCAATAACGTCTTCCCAGAGCACTTTGGTAAGGTAAATAAATTCTGATGCTGCACATCAAATCACATCCATATCAAAGTGTAGATGTGGCTGTCAAAATGCACGTTTAGATCAAAATTAGTAATCACACCCTGGGTGAGTGACTTTTAGAACAGTTTGCATTTGGATTCCAAAGTAAGAACCTAGACCGCACTAAATCACTATATAGAGCTTTTCTTCTCTTTCTTCTTCCCTTCCCTCACACTGTGCTAGCCCTTTCTAAACTAATTTTTCTATTTTCTATAAAGGTGGAGGAAAGGGCAAACCTGATCATGAGTTATTTGGAATCAGTAGTCAATCAGAACAAAAAGCATTATCAGTATATTTATGAAGAAAAATCCAACTACATGTATACATTTTGGTGTGCATTTTATTTTTCACTGGAATCATATCCATATGAAGGGAAATTGTGAAAGTATCCTTTACTCTTTCAAAAGCTTGGCCTTTGCCTTGCTGTGTCAAAGGAAAGCAAAACTAAGCCAGTAATGATGGAGATGTCTCTATTTCTGTATGCACACTGACAGGAGAGGAGCTGCCTAGGAAATGCTTTTTGATTGATGAACAGAGGAGGGTCTACACACACATTAAATACAAATGGAAACACATCAGCACACACAAGTCATCAGCCTGGTCCTCTGGCATCTACTGGCATGCATCTTTCCAACGTATCACTTATTCAGTGGTATCAGCACTATGTCTCATTATGCCTTTTATCAGCAAATACCTTTTTATTCCAGAATGGAAAACAAACTAGGAATTAAATACATCCAATATTGATGCTTTATTTCCGTAAGTCACCAATAAGAGAATGAATTTAATTTTAATACATTTATTTTTGTGTGATTCTTAATAAAACACTTTCAAAACATTCTGTACATTTCAAGCCACTCAGAACTGCATTACATTTCTACAAATGTGATTTGTTGGGATGAGGAGCCAAGATATCTCTGTACAAAGATGTACAATATGTACAATCACTGTAAGTGCGAGCTGTGCAAAGCAGAGTCTAGAACACTAATTCATGCCAAGGCTTAGAAAAACATTTCAACACATAAGACTAAAGCTTGAAACAGCATTGTGGTTTTTACCCTGGGCAAATGATTATTTTATAAACAAGTATATGTATATGTCATATAGAAAGAATAGTTTGACTCCTCAGCTCAGTCAGCACCATGCAGCTGACTGGATACATTACAGGGCTGCTTTCTTCAAGATGCCATTTTGCCACACTCAATAGTTGTCTCATCACTGAGATGCTGCCACTACTGCCTTTGGCTGAACCACAGCAACACCAGGAGACTTAAATTTGGGGAGATAAAGGCCAAATTTGTTTTCGATGCCTGCAAACGTAGCAGTGGCAAGTCTGTATCCACCGATGTGATCAGGGTTGGCAGGAGGAAGGTCTGCAATGCGTGACTTAGGTGTTGGTTCTGAACCAGAGGGTTTGCTGTTGACAGAAAAAAAGCCAGTGGTTAGCATGCTCAAGACCGATGAGGATGGCTTATAGCTGGACATTTTCAGTCAGACCCACGTGCCAAAAAGAAGAGTGTTTGTCTCAACCATTTCCATGGCACTTGTGCTGTGTGATTAGAAATCACAGTCATGATTTATAGCTGCTTTGACAGTAATTTATCTACATATTTGATTTATAAGATATATAGCCTTATTTCCAATGCTTATATACATATATAAGCAGATCCAGAGGAAAAAAGTCAGAAGAAAAGACACTCAAATGTGAAGACTCTCTGGGAAGTAGGATTATGGGTGATTTTTTTCTTTTTGTAAAGATGGGGTCTTGCTATGTTGCCCAAGCTGTTTTTGAACCTCTGGCCTAAATGATCCTTCTGCCTTGACCTCCCAGAGCACTGGGATTACAGATATGAGCCACCACACCCAGCCTGGTTTTTTTCTTTATGCTTTATGGTTTTCCAAATTTTCTGCATTAAGCATATATGAAAGTAATTTTTTTAAGTATATGTTTTTCTTTTGACATTACTATAAAAGTTAACTTTTTACATAGTAGACTCATAAAGATGATCAATTAAATTATTTAAAGAGAAATAGATTTAGTTCTTTTACAGAAGATAAAAGCATGGAAAAGCCTAAACCTTCACATTTCTACAATGGAATTGTAAGACGGTGGTTCTCACTTTTTTTGCTTAAGTCCCTCCACTTGGTTCAACAGCTGATTCCCTACGTGGCCTTCTGGCACAGAGGAGTTCACAGATTTATGGTGTGAGGACTCAGGAATGGTACTTGGTTTTCTGCTGAAAAGCTAATAATTGCTTGCTTTGGGTACAACTTCCCCACCCAGAAAATTCAACTAGTAATTCCTCTTCTCAGTGCAAGCTTCAAGTGTTAAGCTTTTAGATGCCCAATTTCTGACCTACATCTCAATAGTCATTATATCCAAGGGCTTAACCTCTGTTCAAATTTATTGTTTTTTTCCAGTAAATAAGCTCCAAGACCATCGATCTATACCTAACTAATAATAAATTGCAAAAGGGGTTGGGACTTTGAAAAAAAATTCACAAAAGTGTTACTGGTATACATTTATATTACTTCTGTGAAAGGGCCACATAATAAAATCCACATAGTAAGAACTCCATAAAGTTCAGTATTTGGTGACTCCTGGCTAGGCATGGTAGCTCACACCTGTAATCCCAGCACTTTGGGAGGCCAAGGCCAGTGGAGTTCGAGACCAGCCTGGGCAACACAGTGAGACCCCATCTCTATAAAAAAAATACAAAAATTAGATGGGTATGGCGGTGTGCCTCTGTGATCCCAGCTATTCAGGAGTCTGAAGTGGGAGGATCACTTGAGCCAGGGAGGTTGAGGCTACGGTCAGCCAAGATCATGCCACTGTACTCCGGCCTGGGCAACAGAGCATACACTGTCTTTAAAAAAAAAAAAATTGCTGCTTCCCTAAAATCCCCCAAACAGCTGCTTAATATTATGTACAATATCACTCTGTCACAGTTTTACTAACTTAACACAAATGCTTAAGCTCACTGTTTTAAATGCATTCATCTTAAAGTTTCTGTCTTATCACTTTTCTAAGAGTTCCAAAAATGCCTTTGTAGACAGAACAAACATTTGTTTTGTTTTAGTGATTTCTTTGTAAAGGAGTTAAGCAGCTGACTTACAGGCCTCCAAAATCAATGTAAAACCACCGCTGGAGAAGTTCATAGGTGACCAAGGTAACACCAAACTGGGGAGAGGATCGAAACACTCGAGCTGAAAAAGAGAAGCAGGAGCAGGGGAGACTTACAACCAGGACAAATGTGGTAAAGACAGCCACTGAGTCACAGGGGAGGACGCTAGAGCCAGCCAGCCATTCCATATGGCCCCAGCCCCTGCCTACCTGCAGTTCCTTTCCAAAATGCTGAGGGCCCTTCTTCCCGGAGAATCTTCCTGAAACAGTCGATGACACCACTGTATGTCGTCTGGCCAGCACGGGCAGCCACTTGCAGTCTTGTCTTGATGACATCAGCAGGGGTCACCAGAGATGCAGCTGGCACACCTTTCAGGAGAAAGCCACATTTAATTTATCCAGCGTACCTTATAAAAGATAGGAATACTGCTAACATCTACTATAGAGTCTGCAACTTTAATCACTTGAGTGGAACTCAAAACTCTTTAAATAGATGCCTGGGTACTAATGAGGAAAGAACATAGAAGCCAATTAGCTGTTTCAGTGCGATCGGGGGAAAATTATTAGTTTTTTTTTTTTTTTTCCTGAATTAAAAAGAATCACTCTACATTGCATGATTCCAAATAACTGTGAGAGGGAAAAAAAAGTAGCAATATTAATAAGACAATTTCCAAGTGTTCCCTTTCAGTTTCAATTATTTTACCTCTTTTTATCTTAAATAAGATATAAGTATTTTTATGTAAAAGAAAAAAGGATAACATCATTTTAGTGAGTTGCTAAATGTATCTGACACCAAACTACTGTTTTTTGCTGATTCTTGTCAACTGTAGTGCGGGAGGTGAATATCAATACTCATAACCACTCACTTGTTTGAAGGGGTAACTTGAGAGTTGACTGTGACTCCTTTCAGACATGCTTACATGACAAAAGTCATTACAACTGGAGTGAGAGGCAGCCAGGCAGCCAGTCAAGGAACAATAGCGAGCTGGTCATGGAAAGGCCCCTGTGCCTGAGCTCCCTGGGGTCATGTTGAGATTGATCAGCAGCAGGACACAGAAGATGGATTTCACAACCACACCTTTTACTTATAAAACAAAACAGGGAGCAAAGGAGCAACATAATCTTCCCCAGGGGGAAGAAATTCAATTTGGCCCAAGTATCACTGTGCCATCACTAGGGAGATGGAGCTGGCAGCCTTGTAGGGGGTTCTGTTAGAAGGATGCAAATACCCCTTGGCATGGCCTTGCACCCTATTCAGATGAAACCAGGTAAACTGCCTCCCTTTGAAGACAGTCTTCTGAATGTTCTCAGTGCCTGCTTGCAAAGGTTTACTGGTAAAAATCAGAAAAAAATCATCTCATTCTGAAAACTGACATCAAATGTCTGTGGGGAAGAAGTTGATGCTGACAGCTCCATGAAAATATTTATTTGGTTCAGTCGGCAAACACCTGTCCACAATTAGACTCTTCTTCTCTGGCTGTTTTTTTGCTGTTGATTGTAAAGCACAAGGAAAGGCCTGGAAGGCAAATGCTGCCCCATTTAAAAGTAAGAGACTGGACCAAAAGTGATGGCTTATGCTTTTACGTAATCCCAGCACTTTGGGAGGCCAAGGTGAGTAGATTACCTGAGGTCAGGAGTTCAAGACCAGCCTGGCCAACATGGCGAAACCCCGTCTTTACTAAAAATACAAAAATTAGCCAGGCATGGTGCTGTACACCTGTAGTCCCAGCTACTTGGTAGGCTGAGGCAGGAGAATCGCTTGAACCTGGGAGGCAGAAGTTGCAGTGAGCCAAAATTGCACCACTGCACTCCAGTCTGGATGACAGAGTGAGACTCCGTCTCAAAAAAAAAAAAAAGTGGGAGACTAGTAAGTACCAGAAAGGGGTTGCTACAAACAACTCACTGTCAAGACTAAGCAGGTAACTTTACTGGCTTTTAAACACAAAACTGACTGAAATTACAATTGCTAGAGGACAAAGGACTTGCTGGGCCCCAAATAAGGTCCATAAGGTCCCTGGGACTGTTTCTTAATGAACACAAGTCATCTGCTGTCATCACAGGCAAGAACAACAAGGTGGTCCATCCCAACACTCTCAGGCCCAGGGGCTCCTGCCACATACCAAGCACAGCACACTCTAGGAGCTGCTCAGGTTGCCCTGATGTTTAGCAAGAGCCACCAGAGGAGAATGAGCCCAGCAAGGAAGAGCCATGCAGTGAACATAAGCCTAACTGGTCAGAGCCATACTGAGCTCTATCATGGTTCATTACTGGTTGTATAAAGAGCAAACATTCACCCCTTCCTTCCTTTGTTTTTTTGGAGTGTTGGTACAACCAAGAATACCTGTTTCTCTCCTTCTATTCTAAGTCAGCTCCTTCCTAACTCAAGAGTCAGGCTGTACCTGTGAGGTCAGAAGGAAGCATCCTAATACCTCTTTGCCCTTGCGAGACTCCTCTTTCAAATGGAATCTCTTCTGTGCCTAATTTGGTGTCTTAGATGAGATGAAGGTTTTCATTCATGTTGTTGATAATTATTGAGCTCCTATTATTACACTGGCCACATAGGAAAGGCAAGGATGCACAGAATGAAACTCTTGTCCTCAAGAAGCTATTAGCCTAATACAGAGAATAACTTATGCAAATAACAATTAATAGAAGACAAAGTGTTTTTTTTGTTTTTGTTTTGAGACAAGCTCTCACTCTGTCACCCAGGCTGGAGTACAGTGAGGCTCACCACAGCCTTGACCTCTCAGGCTCAGGTGATCCTCCCACCTCAGCCTCCTGGGTAGCTGGGACTACAGGTATGCACCACCACAACTGGCTAATGACAGAGTGACCTGAGGAAAAACTTTTCCACCTTAATGCTTAGCTTGGCTGCACTCAAGGTTTCAGGGGCACAGGAGAATAAGAAACATGTTAATGATGAAAGCCCAATTTAGATGGGCAGATCTAATTTGGCTCTGAGTTGCTAAGCTGCATTAAGCTGTTTATCCACATTATGCAAATGTAATTAACTCTCATCAGAATTACAGCACATCCCACAAAGGAGAAAAAGTGATTACATTTAAACTAAGTCAGGTACAAACAATAATCTTTCCAGAAATAAAGAGGGAAAGCACATAGAGATTCTCTACTTTTTAAATAATGGGAGAATTCTTTCAGTTAAAAAAAAAATTGTAGTTACCTGCCATGGCTCCAGCTGCAAGAAGATTTAAACCTCCCACGTGTCCGTTTTCATCAGCCAGAAGCAGTTTGCAATGAGCATAAACAGGAAAATAGATTGCAGAGAAGGGAATGTCTCGGAGGAAACACGCTTTGGCACCCTGTCACACGGTGAGGAAATTGTGCAAAACAGTGTGTAAACTGAGTGTGAATGGCCAAATGGGATCCAGGTGACATTTGTCAGTGACAAGCCTGAGGTGTCCCTCAAACAGCCTGAAGTGTCCCTCAGTGACAAGCCTGAGGTGTCCCTCAAACAGCATTAGAATTGATGTGCAAGGGAAATGGGGGATGGGGGAGACGAGTGGGGAATAGGGAATAGGGAAATCCACATATCTCAAAGTCTGTGAAAGTATGGTGAATCCTGCAGTCCCAAAGTTAATAACTGGGTAATGACAGTATTCTGAAAGCTAAGAACTTGCTGGCATTTCTCATAGAGATTGAAGGTTTTTTAAATTAATTAATCTCTCACTGTGGTAGAAACATACGAGAGCTACCCTCTTAAATTTTTACACCAGCTGAGAATCCCTGTAGTGCCAGGTAAAAAGCTATAGGCAGTGGTGAAGGAAGGTAAGTACTCTAGAGCAAGTAGAAAAGGAACCCAAATCTTCTCTCCTCATCCCCCATGTCCTAAGCAGCAGACAAAGTATTTTTTTTTTTCTTTTTTTTTTTTTTTTGGGGGGGGGAGGAAGGCAGGAAGGAAGGGAAGAAGGACGGTAGGGAGGAAGGAAGGGATGAAGGAAGGAAGGAAGGGAGGAAGCGGGGAGGGAGGGAGGGAGGGAGGGAAGGGAAGAAAGGAAATCAAGCAATGAAAGAGACATTGCCGACAGACAAAGTATTTTTTAGCAGCAGGTTTCCACAGGAGCAAAAAATCACCCAGAGACAGCTTGTCCCAATGACTGAGGTCCCAAAGAACACATCCCTCAGCTTTGTCAGAAGCCCACATCATTCTACTGCCCAGGACTTTACCTAGCTAGGCAAATACTCCACCTTGGTGCTTGTTTTTTAAATGACTCTGTTTTATTCTTTTTAATTGCTGTTTTCTGAGACAGAGTCTCACGTATTGCCCAGCCTGGAGTGCAGTGGCACAATCACAGATCGCTGTAACCTTGACCTTCTGGGCTCAAGCGATCCTCCGACCTAAGCCTCCTGAGTAGCTGGGACATCACGTGTGCACCACTGTGGTGGCTAATTTTTTTTTTTTTAAGACGGAGTTTCACTCTTGTTACCCAGGCTGGAGTGCGATGGTGCGATCTCGGCTCACCGCAACCTCCACCTCCTAGGTTCAGATAATTCTCCTGCCTCAGCCTCCCGAGCAGCTGGGATTACAGGCGTGCGCCACCATGCCCAGCTAATTTTTTGCATTTTTAATGGAGATGGGGTTTCACCATGTTGACCAGGATGGTCTCGATCTCTTGACCTCGTAATCCACCCGCCTCGGCCTCCCAAAGTGCTGGGATTACAGGCGTGAGCCACCGTACCCAGCCTAATTTTTTTTTTTAAGTAGAGACAAGGTCTTGCTATGCTGCCTTGACTGGCCTTGAATTCCTGGGCTCAAGCAATCCACCTGCCTCAGCCTCCCAAAGTGCTGGGAGTGCAAGTATGAGCCAGTACTCCCAGCCCTGGATTTTTAAAGACAAACTCAAACATTAAAAAAAAAAAAAAAGGACTCACTAAAAGACAATACAGAGAAAAGCAATATTAATAAATTCATCTCTCAAAGGGAATTCAAAAAGGATGGAAATTGAGAGTGGGAAGGAGGAAGCAAAAATTTGTATGAAGCTCCCTTGAGACAGGCAACATTGTTTATTGGTCTCCAGAGAGCCCTGTAGCTGTGTGATTCCAATCTAGAGAATTTCTTTGTTTTTGTTTTTTAAACGGAGTCTTACTCTGTCGCCCAGGCTGGAGTGCAGTGGCGCAATCTTGGCTCACTGCAACCTCTGCCTCCTGGATTCAAGCAATTCTCCTGCCTCAGTCTCCCAAGTAGCTGGGATTACAGGTGTCCACCACCATGCCCCGCTGATTTTTTGTCTTTTTAGTAGAGATGGGTTTTCACCATGTTAACCAGGATAGTCTCGATCTTCTGACCTCATAATCCACCCACCTTGGCCTCCCAAAGTTCTGGGATTACAGAGAATTCCTAATTTCTAATTTGCAGTTAAAGAAACAAATTTACACATTTCTGCAGTGATGGATCTATATCAGATGTTGTGGAATCACAGTTGCCTATAGTGGCTAAATTTACGTATTCCCCTTATACCAGGCAAAGGAATGGAAAGAAATACTCTTTCTTGTTTAAGAAAAATAATAGCTTCTGCTCCATTACATCTGATCTGTAATGATAGGAATAAGTATACCCACAGGGTAGGAATCTGTTGACTGGCATTTTGTTAAAGTACAGCACTGTGTTGTTGGTTTTTTTTTTTTTTTTTTTAATGGAATTCATTATTGACAAATCCTACCACTTAACTTCTTAAATACCTGAATCCTACAAAACTCTACTACTGTTTTACTGTGGTCAAATTATTAAGACAAAGAAAAGCTCCCACTGGGAAGATAACAATCGAGATAACTCAGACTGGAAATAAACATAAGACTATTTTGAAGTCCTAAAGCAGCCCAAAGAAAGCACCAAGGAAACTTTTCCCAAGCCTCCCAGCAAATGAAAGATTGTGAGCCTGAGGCCAGCAGGTCTGTGGTGCTGGCCTCCCTGCTGGCAGCTTCATAAAAGCCTGAAGATGACAACAGGAGAGGCTGCATGTGTAACCCACTGCCTTTCATGCAAGCATCATGATTCTTTTCTTTTTGTTTGATTTTCTACTCCACAGACTACTCTGCTGGACAAGATTGCTTTTCAATTTGGAGTGGAGAAGTCTGGTTTCCATATTCTTTCACATTTTTATTGAATATATTACAACCTCTCCACTGAGGTGACTCAAGGAAACCTACCCACCTTATACAGACCAAAAATTCCCAAGTCCCGGAGCACATTCAGGGCGCTGACTCTAGGTCCCGTGGTGATCTCTCCAGCTACTTGCAGACGAATCTTCACTATCTCCAATGGGTTGGTAAAAATGACCTGAGAGCCTCCAGCCTGTAGGCAAGGGAGAAGAGAAAGGCAGATTCCACATCAGAGCCAGACTGGCAGCGTAAAAAAGGAAAATCCAGAAAAGCCTCTACATCTTACCATCTTGAAAAGGAGGTGAAACCGCCTTCCTCATGGGGGAATGACAGTCTGATGCTTACTACTGACCCTGGAGAAGTTCAGATGGATGGTCCCAAACTCGGTCTCAGGTCAATCTACCTCTGGGTTTGTTTCTAATTGAAATGTCAAGATTGTTTCTCGGACCAGTCTTTCCAGGATCACTCCAGCCACATTCAAAATAACAAAACTAATAAACCCATTTGGGAAAAAAAAGTAAAGCCAGATGTGGCAGCAGGGTACTCAATGAAAGAAAAAGAGACAGTAGAAAACTGTCATCTTTTATAAGCCAGAGCTAAAATTCAGAGCTACAATTATTTTTCCTTTTTGTGGCAAGCATTCTTGGCAGCATACCCACTTGCTTCTGCTTCCTTAAATCGTAGAGCAATTAAAACTACTTTGGCCCCACAGAGGTGCCTTAAGTCAGACGGGGAAAAGTCTCCTCCAGTTCAAATTCTAAAGTGTATTATCCTAAGCAAAACTCTGATACATGTACATGGCTATACCGACACAAAAGGGAAGAATTTAGAAAGATAAATTTCGTATCATTTCAAGACAAAACCAGAAAAACTCTTCAAGGCAAAGCTGGGAAATGGAACATCTAGTCACCATGAGTACAACACCCTCAAGATCAAAGCCACATTCCAAATTCTTGCAGTGAGTGACAGAGATTTGAATTTGGATAATGAGAGTATATTTGCACCTGAAATCTACTAACTAGTAGAGGAAAAAAAAAAAATGTTTAACAAAACACCTCCCAAATTCTTTTTTTAGTTTCTGTAAGAAAGAAAAAATGTGTGTAACCATGGATATATAAAAATAAATAAAATAAATATATATCTCCTTTCATGAAATGAAAAATCCCATTTGTAAATCTTCAACAGTAGCTGTTTACATTATGTAATCATAACCATATTCATATAATAGTCCTAATTATATTCCTATCATCAAATCATTTTATATAATCACAACTAAACTCAAAGCATATCACATGTGAAATATGAAATCTGGGGCACTATAATTCCACAGATATAGAAACATTACAAACAATACCTAAAAACTCACATGCAGCTTTCAATGGCACTTCAGTGCTCAACCTTTGCCCACATTCCTGCTCATTTATCTAAAACCCAAAGCCCTCCTAGACCCACTTCTAAGGAACAGCAACATGGCTTAGTCTATTTTCCTAATGCCTTGGGACTATAAATCTCCCAACTATCCCTATTCCAATCCTGACTCTTTAACTCATTTCAATATTCACAATTGCCAGCACTGATACTAAATTCCTCTTCTCTTCGTGGACAGCTTACTGTCCTGAATAACCCAGGAACTTAATCCCCTTTTTGTCTTTTGAGCAGGGAGGTGCAGCAATTTGCTGTCTCTCTTGGTTTCCTGTAACTCCTCAATTTGACACAATCCAGACCACTGGCACACAGGTGCCCCAACGATGTACTGACCCAATTTTGTATGTTGATTTGCCTGCATTTCTCTCTCTTTTAATCTGTTGCACTGCAGGCAGAAGGAAGCACTTTAATGTTTCAATCGAAGCAAACAATACTTTCAAAAGGATTGCTGGGTGAAAAATTATGTTAAAATGATAATCCAAGTAATTGCTCCTGTAGCTAGTATTAAAGACCAAACCAATTTAAAAAGTTTACTACTTCCCTGAAATCACTTGTTTAAATAATGGTTGCAAAGACTATCTTTTGGAAAATGGGCTTTATGTTCTAACTAAAGCAGATTAAAAAAAGAATAGAACCGCGAATTTTTATTCTAATTCCCCCAAATTTGCCACTACCGGACAGTGTCAGCCCCTGAGTGCCAAGTGTTAAATGTGGACATTATGTTTAAATAAATACAAAGGTCTTTCACATTTGTAATCATTAGTAAATTATAACATCCTGCTGGGCAGGAGTACTCCAATCCATGTCCCCAACGCCCCACAGCTGCCTCCTCCCCTTCCTTCTCTCATGCACCCTTTTAGAAATAATTGCCAGTTGATTGAGATTTATACTATAACAATGCTTCAGAATTTTTTAAGTATACAAGTAAAAGGCTTTCTACTGAAACTCTACAAAAATGGTACAATAAAGAGAAATAATTGACTATGTTTTGTTTGTTTGCTTGAGGCAGGGTCTCACTCTGTCACCAAGGCTGAAGTGCAGTAGCAGGATTAGCTCACTGCAGCCTCAACCTCCCCAGGGTTCAGGTGATCCTCCCACCTCAGCTTCCAAGTAGCTAGGACTACAAGCGTGCACCACCATACCTGGCTAATTTTTGTATTTTTTGTAGAGATGGAGGTCTTACCATGTTGCCCAGGCTGATCTCAAACACCTAGGCTCCAGCGATTCATTCGCCTTGACCTCCCAAAGTGCTAGGATTACAGGCGTGAGCCACCATGCCCGGCTGGGACTACATTTTAAAAATACATACACCTTAATTGTTGTATACTTTGAAGATTGGTTACCTAGCACACATACTAAATCCCAACAATGAACAGGACATAACCACAAATCTCAACTGATGTACATTTATAAACACATATAATCTGGCAAGTGAGAGTGCAATAAATCAAACAATGACACTATAGCAAGGCACACATCTATAAGTCTGCTTCATGCCTATGCTTGAGGGAGGAAAGCTCCTGGCAATACATCATTTGTACATGCTTTAAAAATTAAAATACAAGCCAAGTGCAATGACACATGCCTATAGTCCCAGCTGCTCAAGACACTGAGTGGGGGGGACTACTTGATCACAGGAGTTCAAGGCCAGCCTGGGCAATGGAGCAAGACCTTACCTCTTAAAAAATTTTTTTTTTGGGCCGGGCGCGGTGGCTCAAGCCTGTAATCCCAGCACTTTGGGAGGCCGAGGCGGGTGGATCACGAGGTCAAGAGATCGAGACCATCCTGGTCAACATGGTGAAACCCTGTCTCTACTTAAAATACAAAAAATTAGCTGGGCATGGTGGCATGTGCCTGTAATCTCAGCTACTCAGGATAGAATTGCCTGAACCCGGGAGGCGGAGGTTGCAGTGAGCCAAGATCGCGGCACTGCACTCCAGCCTGGGTAACAAGAGTGAAACTCCGTCTCAAAAAAAAAAAAAAAAAAATTTTTTTTTTGGTAATTGCCATACATTTTTAAAACCTCATGACAGGCCTAGGAACATGAAGGCAAATACTTTCGAGAAACACTGAATAATTTTAGCAAAGATAAAGACTTCAAAAACCACAGTTACTTTTGTAGCAACCTAATAATTTGTCTAAAACTTTGGATGTTTATGATACTTAAAGGGAAACATACATGGGAAATATGCACTGTTTTTTTTGAAACTCTGAGGTGAATCACACTCTCTCTCCTACATATTAAACTGGGGATGGGGAAGAGGGAGTAAAATCTGAGATCAGTTGAATGATACTGGTAAGAAATCAAGCAACACAGAATGAGGGACTATGATGTTCAAACTCTTGAACTGGGTGTTTTCTCTCAGAGAAATGTCATATTTATTCTATTCTAAGACTCTATTGATTATAAATGATATTATTAATTTAAAAACAGCTTTCCAAAGGAGAAGCATGCTTGCAGTAAATATAATCTTTAATATATAGAATTTCATAAATGTAGTAACTTTTCAATAAAAAAGTACCTGTATTTCTATAAATATGCTCATGTTTGCTACTTCTAATAGCAAAATTGAACAGGAAGAAATCCAAATTCCCAAGAAAACAGTTAAGTAGATACAATTTTATGCTCTCAATTGGGCAATATGATTTGATAGTAAAATCAAGCCAAATGACATACACAGAACATAAAATATTAGGTACACATTTGATCATAAATATGTCAAAATTTACCTAAGTTTCTCGAAATCAAAGTGGCTTAAAAATAAAAACACTGATTTCCTCCTGGAAAGAGAAACTGAGTAGCTATGAGAAACAATTTTCATAGCATACTATATTGCACCTTTTAAATTGTGAAACATATGAATGTATTAACTATTCAACAACATCAAGAAACAAACAATAGCTTCTTTATAAACTAAGTTCTCTCTTGCATATACACATTCATGGTAAATTTGGTAATTTAGCAAATATATTTTTTAAACTAGTTGGCATTAGTTACTGTGGATCCAAGCTTTTTGAAAAGCTTATCTATTACATATGAACATCAAAAAACCTAACCAAATATAGCTAGTGATCTGAAATAATAGACACTAAGATATATAAAATTCTATATTAAACCACAATGATACACAGCTACATAACCTTAAATGGACATTGCTAAATTTGACATCTTGCTGCTTCTGTTACTAATGTTTATATTAGATAACATACCACTCTATACCAGACCTTTGCTGAATTTTTTTTACTCTTGAAATCACCAAAATTGGCTAATTCTTTAATTGCTTAAATTTCCTTCATTAAATTTGCTGCCTATTTTTCTAAAATAGATACAAGCATTAATACTAAAACAGACTTAGATGCTTTCTATTTTTCAGTATTCTGTTGTCATTTCTTTGTTCTAGAACTGAGTTTAAAAGATACATAAAAGGGAACAAATCTTTTGAATGAGGGTTACCCATATATACAGAAATGAAAAGAATAAAAAATTTCCATTTAATCTTATATGAATTTTTTAATGAGAAAATCAACTAAAGCTGACAGCAAAAGTTAGCAGGGAAAAGGATGTAATACTGAGATGTCACCATGTCTCCAAGGTGCCTAAGGCCGAGAGGCTATATACAGGATTAGGCCTACTCAACCTTCTGCCCTCTCAATCCTACCCCCGGGGCAAGGTTCACAAAGAGGTTGGAGACTGGGCCCTGCTTGTGCCAAATCCTTTGTTTATTTCTTTCTTTGATCAACACTGTTGTGTCCTATAGATTGAAATAA